ACTTTCAAGTATCTAAAGTGATTATTATTAATAATTTGATATCAGCTCTATTATTGGTAGGATGTTGCTTTGGGCCATGTTTTTCTAATTGCAAAAATATGTTTTTATCTGGACTTGCTAATTTTCTTAGATATCAAGACCAGTGGGTCTAATGCCAAGATAATTTAATTAAAACTAAATGTACTCGTAGAAAGATATGAATAAAGTATAGTACATAGTGTCCATAAAGTATGTGTTACTAATAAAAACATTAATGTAGTGCTTTTTATATAAAATTAGTGATTCTACATTATAATTATAGATTATATAGTATACACTATAAAATACCTTTTGTTCTGTGTGGCTGTTTTAGAAATGCTCGTTTACTTCAGTTTTTAAAATATTCTACAATTCTCATGCCTGCATTTAACACAGAAGTTTAATATTTAATGGATTCATATAAATAGAAACTGAAGCCAGGTTACTTTTACACAAAAGTGGAAGCAAGGATTCTCTGAGATTTTGTTAAATTAAAAGGCTTCATAATTATGTCTCAGAGGAGCTGGTCATTAATTAAGATTCATGAAGTGCTTAGAGAGTTTCATAAGGAAATCCACTAAATCTCACAAGCCCTACAAGATGGCAACCTAGATTTGAAGAAATTAGTAGAAATGCCACTTAGACATGAATCATGGTTATTTCAAATATTTACGTCAATTCTGACCATTGCAGAAAGTAAAAGGAAAGGGATACCAAATTCACCAACTGGATACCTGGCCAGGTGGGTAGGTCTGCACCGTGAATGAGACAGAGTTCTCCAATTATTGCTGGAACTGTTATTGTGCTGACTCTAAAATAACCACCACCCCACTGTAAATGAACGTAAATCTTACTCATTATAGAAAAAATTGTTTGGGAAGGGCACTCAATTAGAGCTTTCTTCTCTTTATATGTTCATTGAGTGGCTCTAGAGTTTTTTTAATCAGAGAAATCATTCAGAAAGTCTTTGCAAATGAATGTTTAATGCTACTGGAAATTGGCCTTCAAAAGAAAAGAGCACTTTTATTTATTTTCACCTATTTATACAGCAATACTTGCTCACTATAGACAAGTTTTTAAAAATACAGAAAATTATTAGCTTTTAGAAACAGGATCTTGCTTTGTCACCTAAGAGTGCAGTGGTGCAATCATAGCTCACTGTAACCTTGAACTCCTGGCCTCAAGTGATCCTCCTACCTTGGCCTTGCAAAGTGCTGGGATTACAGGTGTAAACCACCATGCCAGGTTATGAATTCACTGAGTTGGTTTTGATCTGATAAATGCACATGCTCAGGCAGGGACTGTCAGCATACTGGCATCTATTAGTGCTACTAGAATAACCACAATTATCAGAGTAGGATAATTACTTCATTTTCTTCTAGATTTTTTCTTTTGTATTTTACACATACTCTTTTTTTACACATAAAAGGGTAAATTTTTATTATATGTAAATTATACCTCAATAAGCTGGATTTAAAAAAACAAACAGAAGTTTTATTGAAATATTATTTGATCTTTCTGTGTGAGATGTACTCTGATCTGTTCCATTCCATTCTATTCTTTTTCATTACAACAAAAGAAGACAAAGAAATAAGATCATCTACAGTGACTAAATCAATAGATTTTACAATGTATTAACCCATTAATTATAACCTATGCATCATGATCCATAACTTGAAAAATTCTGGTCTATGTTTCTTACTGTTATTATAAGTAAAAAAGGTGGTGAATGTATCAAATATACTCAGAATGTCTGCAGAATATGTATATACATAAATGTATACATATATTAACAATAGCAATAAGCTACTTATAAGAAGGAAATTGGGTGCTGGATTCAGCAGCACATATACTAAAATTGGAATGATATAGGGAAGATTAGCATGGCCCCTGCAAAGGATGACATGCAAATCATGCAGCATTAAAAGAAAAAAAGGAAGGAAACTGAGGAACTGATGATTGGGGAATGGAGTGAGAATTTAATTTCCTGTACATATGTATTTAATTTTTTTAAACCATGTCATCTGTTACTTTTTAAAAATATATTAAAACATTTAAAAGGAAAGAGAAAAATCCTGAAAGCAGAGTCAAGTTCAAGTTATAGTTTTAATTACCTGTGTGACAGTTGGTAAGCTGCCTAGCAGCTTATCGATAAGTGAATGAGGCCCATTCACTTATCTGTCATATGAAAATTTTGGTCCATACGAATCCTTAGCCTTGGCCTCTTAGATATTCCAGTTGTCCAGTCAACCTCTATCTACTGGAGCATACTAGATTACTGCACATAAGAAAAGGTGATGTAATAATTCATGATATCAGCAAATATTTACTGAGCAACCATGATACAAATGGATAAGGCTAGAAACTGGGGATATAATCTCTGCCTCAGTAGTCTAGGTGGGTAAACAGCCACAGGTCAATAAACAATAACTCTGCCAAGCATTAGGTGGTGTTGATCTGTTTACAAAATGCTCCTGGTCCACGGAAGGAGGAGCCTTAACTTCTACCTGTATGAATTAAGAAAGGCTTCAGAGAGGTGATTGTAACAGGGCAACATCTTAAGGACACGGCCAATCTTGTCAACTGGAAGTAGAAGGAAGGGTGTTCCAGGCAGTAAAGACTGCACCTCCAAAGGTGTGGAGCTCTGAACACATCCACCATATTCCAACCCCACACCTCTCTACAGCTTTGCCCAGCCTGGGATACTTCCCTGCCTTCTTGCTCTTCAAATCCCATCCTTCTTTGGAAGGCCACAGTCCTGGAAGAGCATGGCAAATGATTCCATGTGGCCAGCCTGAAAGGTCCCAGTGAGGCCACAGAGAGAGGAGCTCTGGTCAAGGTGGGAAAGAGATGGGGGGTGCCAAGTGAACTTGATCCCAAGGGCAATGGAAGCCACTGAAGGTAGAAGAGGAGCAGAGTCGGCAGCCAGATTTGCTGCAGAAGTTGATTCTGGGGTCAGTGTGGAGAATGCATTGGGGTATCAAGACCAAAGCGTACTGGGATGCTCCACCCAAACCCTCTTCACTATGTGGGTTCAGGGCTGGTTTCTGGCAACTCATTGCTCCCCCTTCTCCAGAGAACTGCCTTAGGCTGAATGGGAGCTCCCTCCCCAATGTCCAACTTAACTCTGCCTCAAGGTGAGAATAAGTTTGTGGTACGACTCATGCACCAGATGACGGCAGACCGAACTATCTGGAACTCTTTAAACAAGGTTCACTTTATTTTGATGTTACACAGTGCCTCCAACTTGAGATCTAAATACACTAGTCAGTTCATCTTTCCACTAGTCATACTGAATAATCCATCCCTTCACATTGGTTTGCCATGTTTTCTTAAACTTTTTGTTTATTTTTAGCTATCCTGTTTACATTCTTCAAGAAGAATTTTAGCATCTGACCTTTAGAGATATAATTTGATAGGTGTGGAGTTCTGGCTATTTCTTAAATGAAGAACTTCCTCAGGATATCTGAACAATTCTCTTGGGTGGAAGCCTGAAGTCCAAACCCATGAAAATAGAACCAAATTCTATTCAGCTCCTAAAGTGCTCCTGCCTTCTGGGTTACTATGAAAGGCCTCAGTCAAAACTCCAAGGGATAATTCAGGGCTGATTCCAGTGTATATCCTGAGACCTCCTCCCAATACATAAATCTGTATTAGTGGAGTTTTAGGTTTAATCCTGTAATCTTTTAGCTAGGAGCTGTCCAACAGAACCTTCTGGATGATGGAAATGGCCTATTCTACGATGTCCAATAAGTTTGCCACTAGCCACACATAGTTACTGAGTACTGGAAATTTGGCTATTGCATTAGAGGAACTGAATTATTAACATTAAAATTAAATTTAAATTGACATAGCCACATGTGACTACTCACTGGCCACCGCAGTAACCAAGACTGGTTTGCCTATAACTTGCATATGCGTCCTTGGATATCGGTTTCATTATTCCATTAGCATTGCTAAAATCAAAATACGTTGACATTGCCATGTACTATACTCTGTGTGAGAAGACAGTTGCGGGGAGACAGCTTCTATTCTAGGCTTAAAATTTAAAGTGAGATTAAGGTCAGTTTTTAACCTAGAGATGAACCATGTTGTTAGAACTTTATCTAGAGACTTGTCAGTAGTGTTCCACAGTAAGCCTGGGCAGGGGAGGCTGGTACCTTAACAAGGGGGAAGAAAGGGAGTTCCTGGCTGTGCAGGAACTGCACCATGGCTTGTGAGAAAGTCAGTTCCTTTCACAGAGGTCGTCTGGGCCTGAGTGTCCCAGGAGCGGGAGCTCCCCCTTCTCTGGATGTAGAAAGAAGTAACGAGGCAACAGGGCCTAGCTCAGACACTGAGCCTCTGCAAATACTGGACTGGAACTATTTAATAGGATGGACACGAATGTCCTTACTATACTAACAGCACTCAACAATGTGAAAGATATTAAGCGAGGGGGTTTAAATGTTTGGGTTTTGGTGAATGGGGGAGGGTAAACTGCAGGAGCGGAGTCCAATCGATAACGACTCCCACAGTTAAAGTGGGTGGCTGACCCAGAGTGGAGGAAGGCCTAACGACTCCCACAGTTAAAGTGGGTGGCTGACCCAGAGTGGAGGAAGGCCGCAGCTCCCTGCGCGGTGTTCCCAAGCTGGGGGCGGCCAGGAGGGTGCCGGAGGGTCCCCGCCGCACACTGCAGGGCGAGGTCGCCCGGCCAGGCCGCAAGATGGCCGCTGCCTCGCTGGGCGCCCCCGCGCGGGGCGCAGGGGGTGCTTTTAGGGGCTCCAGGCCCGGGCGGGGGCAGGCAGGAGAGGAGGCGCCAGCTGTGAGGAGGCCCCGCTGACGAGAAGCGATGGGCCGTCGGAAGCAGGGACCAGGCTGGAGGAGAGGAAAGAGGCGCGCGTACGCCCGCGAAGGATATAGCCGCAGCCAGTGACCGCCTGGCCGGCCTGGGCAGCGGGTCCGCACGCGAGGCCTCCGGGAAGTTGTGAGAGCGGCGCGCGTGAGCGCGCGTGCGCGCACGAGGCCCGGGCCGCGCGCAGCCGCTCCAGTCGCCTCCCTCAGCTGCGGTCGCGGTCGCTCCGGAGGCGGGGTTCCCCGCCACAGCCGCTGGCGCCGCGGGAGGGAGCGGCCGGTGGGCCCGCATTCTGTCGGTGGGGTTCGAGGCCGGCCTGCCGCGTCGCGTCTGTGTGGTGCTTGGGCCACCCTGAGGAGCCGGGGCTGGGCGCGCTGGAGGAGAAGGCGGCGGCCGAGGCGGAGGCGCACGGCCAGCAGTCCTCAGGGGCCGGGCGGAGGCCGAGGGGACCATGTCCGAGAAGCGCTCCCAACTCTCCACTACCGAACGCGTCATCAAAGGTGCCAGGCGGGCCCGGCCTTCCCCCGCGACCTGCGGGAAACGGCCCTCGGCGGGGCGACGGCTCGGGGACGAGGGAGGCTGGGGCTCCGGAGTTGGACCTGGAGGGGTGCGGGAGAGGGGAGGGCGGGCGTGCCCCGGGGGAGCAGCCCTGCGGGGACCCCGGCATTTTTGTTGCTCCTGGATCGGTAGCTACCGGAGATTGGTAAGTTCCCTCCCGAATTGTTGACTTCCAGGCAGAGTGGGGACTTGTTCTCCCACCACTCCCAAGGGCCTGGATCCCCATCTCTCTCTGTGTCTCTCTCTTCTTTTAAGAAACGATTTCTCTTTTCTGGTCTTTCATCTGGGGACGCCATCTGGGGTGGTATGGGCAGCTTAGCAGACGCTTTCAAGTCAGGTCTTTCTTGACGCCCCCCCGCCCTTTTTCAGGACATACACCATACACCTTTTGGCCCACTTTTCATCGCAGGTCACTGAGGATGGTGAAATAAATACAAATAAATCCGTTAGCTGATGTTTAAAAAGGAATTTATACACTTCTTGACATATGTTGGCCTTTTACTTTCCCTTTGGCTGTCAGAGACTTGGAGAATAATGTTCTCTGATTCAGATGTTTAGCTATATTAGATTTTTGTTGTTATAAGAACAAAACGTAAAGTTCTCCTGTCTCAATCTTGTAGAGTTTTAGGTTAAGGGCAGTTGTTTCTGCCCTTAAACTAATAAGACCGATTAAACATAACCACTAATTTATGTGCTGCTTTTGTTCAGCCATAAGACTTAAGCACAACCCTTCTTTCCTTCTGAGAATTAACAATCGGGTTGAAAGCACTATTTGGTAAGAAGGGAATATACTTAGACCAGCTGTGTTAGTGGCCTGTGGATGAAGTGGTTAGCATTAGGGTGGGGAAAACTGCTAAATGCTTTTCTTTTTCATTTTGTCATCAGAAGGAGAAAGGAAACTAAAATTGGTGTGAATTTTTTTAAGAGTGAAAAGCCTATTGCATGTTCAGAGAGGGAGAAGAGATTTACTGTGTAACTTAGGTTTTCTCCTCCCTTAAAAACATCAGCATCATAAATGTTAATTATCTGTACTGTATAATATTTAGTGAATATAATGGGATTTTTGAGATTTATCTACTGAGCATTTGTGTGGTATCATTGGGGATGTAAGTGAATTGTTCATATAACTGACATCCCTTTTACAGCTAAATTATTTTGACTATTTAAATGTAAATTTTCATAGAATATAACCCATAAGTTGTATATAACCCTCTCTTAAGATTCAAAATATACTTAACATAACCTTTTTTGATAAATCAAGGTCATCATGTACATTAATTTCTGTACCGTGCTGTTAATATGGCTGGTGCGTTTCACTGTATAGGGTATTGGCAGTTTCCTCTTGTACTAAAATGATTCCTCACTGCTATATCATTTTAGTGTTTTGTCTGTTTTTAGTGTATCTCTCCAGTACTCTTCTCTGTCCGAATATGCCCTTACTGCCTTCTAATCTACCACTTCTAAGCTGAAGTAGGCAGGGAAACCAGATAAACCAGAAGTGTATGTCAAGTCAGAATAAATAGGATCTTAGTGAGGCTTAGTGGCAGCTCTCAGACCTTCAGGAACCTCAAAATCTGATCGCCATTTCACCATGTAACTTCCACCATAATATACCATAAGATATAAAGGAAATTTTTCTATATACATGTAATGGAATTCAACTTATACCCCTTAAATCTATTAAAAATTTTTTAAAAATGGAAAAAATGGAAAATTTTCAATGGCACTTAAAAATAGTAAGAAGTATAGTAAAATGAAGTATAGTCAACCAAAATTAAACACAGTTAAAATGCAGGTACTGGTTTTATTGCTTGTCATGCTCATAGTTAAGTGAACACCGCCCTGCATAGTCTGCATGATGTGAATTTGTTCTTTAGCAAAATTACAAATCACTGCATGTTGTGGACTTTTAAGACTACTCTTAAATAAAACAAATGAAACATAAATGAATGACTTCAGGCCCTTATAATGTGTGGATTTATCTCATATTTAGAAAACTTTAACATAAAGACTTAGCGACAGCAATTTCGGCTTCTTGGTGACTTATGTTGCTTTTTAAAAGGATTTTCTAGGGTTTGAAATAGAAATAAGATGTCACTGTATACTAAGGTCCATTGTATTGAGTGTTAAATCCTTGTCTGATGCTATCTTGTCTGCATTTATTCACAGCTTGAAAGCTTTTTCAGAAGTGATACCACACTCCAGTTATTTTTGGTTCTGTCATTTCCTGTTAACTTTAAAGTCTACCTAATTGTTTTGTTTGAGCAAATCTTGGAAGAGTGGATAGGCAGGAGTGATTGTATTTTTAAGTATCCTTTAAACAGCAACTTTCCTAAATTAAAGGACTAGACTGGTTGTCAGAAAACCTAGGTTTTTACTGCTGTCTCTGGAGCTTATTTGTGACCTTGCCTTTTTTTTTTTAACCTTGACCTTTTACTTAGACTTTTTTTTTTTTTTTTTGCTTTAATCATCTCATCTGGAAAACAAAGTTAAGAATACCTTCCCTGTCAAGTCTGGGTCATGTGATTGACATAAGAGATGTGAAAAGCTTAAGGTAGTATTATGAAACATGATAGTAGTTTGTTAATAGAGGGCTTATTACGTAAGTGGTTGGTAGAAAAATCATTAACATTGGATATATCAGAATTAGAAAGTATATGAAATTATAACATAAGTTAGGAAGCCATTGCTAGTCAAGAAAATACCTGTTCTATGATATAAAGGTTATCTGGACGGAATGCCATTGGTAACAGTGTGAGGAGACCAGCACAGTTCTGTCTGGTACTTCCTGACAGCTGGCTTCTTCTCCAGCAGTTGAAGGTGTTTATTTTATGTGTAAGAATTCTTAACAATTTTATTCATTCATTAAATATTTATTGGGTGCCATCTGCAATGTACCCGAACAGGTGCTCATTCCTTTCTTCTTTGCTTTAAAAGTAACATTTCTGGCTGGGTGCGGTGGCTCACGCCTGTAATCCTACTTCTCTGGAAGGCTGAGGCGGGCAGATTGCTCGAGGTCAGGAGTTCGAAACTAGCCTGAGCAAGAGCAAGATGCTGTCTCTACAATAAATAGAAAGAAATTAATTGGCCAACAAATATATATAGAAAAAAAAAATTAGCCAGGCATGGTGGCACATGCCTGTAGTCCCAGCTACTTGGGAGGCTGAGGCAGGAAGATCGCTTGAGCCCAGGAGTTTGAGGTTGCTATGCACTGGGGCATGTCTACTGGGATCTGGACCAGAGAACTAGAAACTCAAATGATTGAATTGTGAAATTATTTCAGCCTGACATATATTTTTTTTAGTTTCCAAGTTTCTTTTCCTGTTTAAGGGAATATTTTTTTCTTTGACAGTGATTTTTTAATTTCTTTTTAAATTTATTTCTTTTATCCTTAACTCTTTTTTCTTTAAGGGAAGACAGTGATTTTTTTTTTTTTTATAAAAGCAGTTTATTTCACTGGACTGAATCTTTTCAGAAGCAACAAGGAAATTTCAGTAGGAATTACATGACAGATTAGGAGAATCTATAGTCTTAAATTTGTTATTTGGTGGCTGAATGGCATTTAATAGAGAAGTGAGACTTCTTGTCAGTAAGATACTAATAAATTTCTCCCACTCTCTTAGAATTCAAATATATTGTGTGTTCACAGAGTACTGTACCATTTATATTTATAGCACACATGGGAGGCTTACTGGTTCCTTGATATTCTGTCACTGGGAATACTATAGCTATGACTTTCTCTTTTTTTCTTTTTCTTTTTCATTTTTTTCTTTTCTATTTAGAGACAGGGTCTTGCTCTGTTGTCCAGGCTAGAGTGCAGTGGTGTGATCATAGCTCACTGTAACTCATGGATTCAAGTGATCCTTCTGCCTCAGCTTCTCAAGTAGCTAGGCTAGGACTACAGGTGTGTGCCACCACATCCGACTGAGTCTTTTTAGAAGTAAGGATGGGGTCTTGGTATGTTGGCCAGGCTAGTCTTGAGCTCTTAGCCTCAAGTGATCTTTCCACCTCAGCCTCCCCAAGTGCTGGGATTATAGGAATGAGCCACCAGCCCTGGCTATTCTGGCTTTCTTAAAAGATTTTAAGAAGTGTAGTGTGGACAAAAATTGCTATTTCAACAAAAATATCCTGAACCCCTTCAGTTTCTGGTACCCATATAATTCACTTATTTCCATAGTTCTTGCCCCCTCTCTCCCTTTTTTTGTATTATGAAAATGGATTTACCAAGGGTTTTAAAAAATTTTTTTCCTCTTAAATATAAACTTAACCCTGCTAATTATAAAATTTGAAAGGTAGAAAGGGAAGAAAACAAAGACTTCATATTCCTTCCCTCCAGAAACAATTGCTTTTAATACTATCGAATTTTTCCATTTGCTGCTGTATTTTGAATTCAAAGGTAAGAGGGTCATGCATATTAAAGCTTTCATTATGCAAATATTTCGTGTTATTTTAACATTTTACCTAAATACTTCCATGATAGTTTCAATCAGCATGAAACTGGTTTGAAACAAAATGGCTTATGTTTATTATATTTTCAAGGGAGCACACAGTAATCATTTGATACAATACCAATCCAGAAGAAACATTTCAAGTATAAATTTCCAATGTGGATATGTCTTTAAGTGTGTATCTGGTGGATTGTCAACAGTCATTTGTTTAATTTATGCTTAGTATACCATTGTAATTAACAAGCTGTCAAACTTTTGAAACATTTGAAATTGATGCTATTTGAGATTCATACCTCTGAGTAGACGTCTCAGACCCTGGAAAAGAAGTCTTAATTTAAACACTTAATTCCTCTTTTTTTTAGCAGGGATGAGGTTTTGTTTTTGTTTTTACCTATATGTTATTGGTTGTGGTCAAAACTTTATATCAGATATTTGATGATAAAGCTTTCTTTCTTTTATTTTTTAATTTTTTTTTTATTTTGGCATATTATGGG